CAGCAACAGGCATGGGCTTGCGTGCGTACGTGCAGTAGCATGCTGGAGCTGGCGGGTAGGCGCACAGGTGCATCCGCATGTGGGACGGGCGAGGCAGGTGCAACATGCGGCCAGACCCAACAGCATACAGGGTGGGCACAACAGGCGGAGTATGCACGGACGTCCGGGCGCTAGCCACCTCGGACACGCACGTGATTCAACCAATCGTCGTCAAGTTTATGGAGGCCGACCTTTCTTTTTTCAGGAATTATTAAAATACACCATGCTTTATACGATAGAGTGTTTTTCTTCTTCTTTCAAACAAAACCACGGATTCCATATTCCCAACCATGACCGACCATAAGAAAAGAGTCCTTAGATCCTTTGTCCGATCTAAGGCCAGTTTCATCTCATTGTTTCTAAGATACGACACTAATGGAAACTAAGTATGAAACAAGCATTCTCAATGTACAGTTTCATTTCACTGTTTCATAGACTAGCTAGCCGCAACATTTTAATTCCTACATTTTGTTGTGATCAAGTATGTCATGTGAACTCTGTAGCCATTTATATTATATATAATAGCAGTATACTAGAATTTGTCACATGGCAAATTAACACTGTAAATGAAAATATTTTAATTATCTTCAATATTCATAGGATATGAAATGGACACATTTCAGAGCTATTTAACATTGTAAATGCAGCTTTCACACGTGAACACATTTCAGAGCTATTTCCACCACTGCATTATTCACATTTAGAGAGCTATTTTCACACTGCATGATTCGCATTCAGATAGCTGTTATCCAATGGCAGAGTTTACATTCAGTGAGGCAGGCAGAATGCAGACATCAATCATATATTCAGTGAGGCAAACTGAGATGGAGGTAACATCGTGTACCCTCGTGCTGCTGACCATACTGAGCCTGTTCGCTGCTTGGTTTCTGACTTGATAAGTCCGGCTGGTGCTGGTTTATTGTGAGAGGAAAACACTATTAGCTGGCTGATAAGCCCTGGCTGAAACCAACGAGCGAACGTGCTGATTATTGATGACTCAGTTCAAAATGTTTAGAGCTAGCTGCAGAGTGACAACTTGAAGTCGGTGCTCCTATACTTTGTAACTCCATCCACACAAAAATTTACAAGGGAACATACAGTACACACCAGGGGCAGATCCAACGGTGGGATAGGGGCGGGGGGAGCCTCCCTACCCATACCGGAGGAGTGGAACCTCCTGGAGCCCCCATGAATTTTTAGGCAAAATTCTATAGTGTAGGTGAAGCTAAGACTTAAAATCTAACAGCAGTCGAAGATATATGTTGTTCAACCCTCTAAAATTTTTCCAACATCCGCCGCTGGTACACACTACGCGAGTAGAAACGGTGTTTCACGCATGCGTTGCTCCCGTACGTGTACGTCCCCGTCTGTCGCATCATGCATGTTCTGTTGGTGTGGCGTGTCTCCACCTCCAATCTCTCGTCAGTCAGGGTCGTCGTGCAATGCAAGGACGACCATGACTATGTAACGAGGTGTCACGACGATGGTACTGTTTATATATGCCATTAATCTGCGAATGGGTAATGAGGTCACCAGGATTCACGTGCGTTGCGTGCGTGGTCGTCACGGGAGCGCGACTGGAGGATCGGAGGAGCCCGTAACCGTAACCGCCGCCGGCCGGGCTCCGGGGGGCTCCACGACGCGCGCGGCCGTGCATGCGCCGTACGTTGCGTCCGAGGTCATCACCGGTGCGGTGACGACTGACGACGACGAGGCTGGCACCACCGTTCGGTTGCGATCGATCGTTCCCAAAACAGAGAGTTTTATTTGAAATGAATGCGCATGCGCTGACGAATTTGCGTCGGAGATTTGGAAAGGAAAATATGCTTGGCTTCTCTCTCTCTCGCTCGCTCTTTGAAACATCTCTGTCGGCCGAGCTAGAGAGCACGCACAAGTGCTCTACTGCAGAGTGGCAGTCAGTCCACAGCCTCAGGAGTCCACGACGCTGGCTGGACGCGCCGCGAGGGCCGAGATCTGCGCGGGGCCCACGGCCGCGGAGAAGCCGCCACGTGCACGCCAGCACACGCGCGCGTCGCTGGCCCGTGGGGGCCAGCCACTTGCACTTTCCTCTTGACAGTTGACTTGTCTACTAGCTCTGTCCTTCCTCGTGTAATCTCTCCTCTCTCTCTCTTTTTCTGTAAATAAACACTTAAAAACAAAAGTACAGGACAAAAACTTCGGGTGAACTCATGTACAGTACGTAGGTAGCAAATTCGTGAGCTCATTTCTACCACTCCGCGATGGGAAAAGAAAAATCCGTGCACTCGCCAACGAGAGTAAAGTAGTAGTACGTAGGTGGAGATTTTTGGGCGTTGGCTTCAACTTATCAGCCGGGCTTATCAATTTTTATAGTATTTTTTTCTCATAATAAATCAGTCAAGATCAGCTTATCAGCTGGCTTTAATACCAGCCGAACAAAATATTTGATCTCGCGTACGTCCACGCGCCAAACGTGGTGAAAAGATCTACTCAACTCAACCAATCCACGGGCAAAATTCCGAACATCATGTCGGTTTCACGACCTCAGTTCTTTTGTCGCCGCTGGAATTTTATGCTAATTGCTAGACTACACCACCTGATGCGCGATCTCGCTTGACAACTACTCCAGGTCAATTTACCTAGGCCATTCAGCCCCATTTTAACCTCTCTTATTACAGTCTTGGCCATCACGCTATGCTTTTACACGCACACACGTCACCCTTTCTTTTTACCTGCTCAAAAAGCGACCACTTCCTTAACAACACCATGATTACTCTCACTCACTCACTCACTCACACTGTCTTTGATGAACCACCGTTAATATATGATGATTGAATCCAAAGTACAAAAGAAAAAAAAACGGCAAGACCCTTCGAGAGAGCCGGCAGGCAGGAACAGCGACAGTCACTCGGTCGGTCACTTAGTTTGGCGGATAAGCACAGATCTGGAAACCGGATCGGAGGTGAGCCGGCGCCCAGGTCCTACCCTGTCTGGGCACGCTGGGGCCAACCAAGCCGTTGAATTGGGACTTGCTAGCGTCCACATGCCCGATCCGGGGCACTAGCATCGACGGTGCTCCAGAAGCCACGCCTGACGCGACATCTTGCTCCAGAGGCTGTGCGGGCCCACACATGCGTGGGACCATCCCGAGCCCGCTCCGTTTCATATGCTCGCATGCACGCAGCACACCACCAGCAGGCACGTGATGCGGTGACCGTGACCCACGGCGGCGCAATAGCAGCCTGTGCTTCCCTGAGATTTACTTTTGAAACATCCAAAAAGAAGCATCTGCAACATACTCTGAAACAAATAAAATATTTGAAACATACGTCCGAAACATGCGTGTATAGTTATAGCAACATGTGCAACACCAGATCTAATTTTGAAACATCCAGATGCAACACTTGCAACATATAAAAGAAGGATGAAACACTTGCAAAAAACACTTGAAACCATAGCAAAACATACGCAACTTCCAGATGCAACACTTGCAACATATGTGTGAAACATATGCAACATCTAGATGAACACATTTGCAGCCTATGAAACATTGGGAACAAACGCTTGCAACATACATGTACAAACCATTGCAACATCCCGATCTACTTTTGTAACATACCTCTGAAACATAAAAAACATTTGAAATGTACGCTTGCAACATGCGCTTTCAGCGTAACTTCTCTTTGCTGCTTGGGAGAAATAGAGGTTCGTCGTCGTGTGGAGTTCAACGGTCTAGAGCTCGCCGGTGGTGCAGAGCGACCGGCCAGGGGGCGCGATAGCCGTCGTGTGCAGCGGTTGCAGTGGAGCTGTCCCTCCATTTCTTCGAACCTAGCGATGGAGCTTTGCGTTGTCGGCAGACCGGCTAAGGGACACCACAGCCATGAAGCGGACCGGACAGGGGGCAGCTGCGGACTGGCCAAGGGGCGCGATGGGGCGGCGATTGGAGCGGAGCCCCTCTCCGTTTCTTCAAGCCCGGCTATGGAGGTTCGCGTCGTCGGCGGACCAGCTAGGGGACATCGCAGCCTTGGATTCATGTACCAAATTCGTGAACTCGTTTTCACCCCTCCGCGCGCGCGATGAAAGATCGTGCACTCACATAAGAGAGTAAAGTGGGTGGAAATCTCTACTGATCTCATGTACATCCAAGCGCCAAAACGTGGTGAAAAATCTACTCCACCGCAAAACTTCAAACAGCGTATCGGTTTGACGACCTCAGTTCTTTTGTCGCCGCTGGAATTTATATGCTAAAATAAACTACACCACCTGATCCCGCTATCTCACTTGACGGCTACCGCTACGGCATGCAGCGCGAGATGCGTGGCAGGCACCATCCAGGTCAATTTAGCTAGCTAGGCCATTTAGCCCCATTTTAACCTTTCCTAGTTTTGGCCATCACGCTATGCTTTTACACGCACGTCATCCCTTATTTTTATCACCTCCAAAGCGACCACTTTCTTAACAACGCCATGATTACTCACTCACACACAAAATCTCCGATGAACCACCTTTATAATAATTTAATTCTAAGTCATGGAGCCCCGACAGAAACAGAAATGCTATATATCACATTAAATAAAAGCGCAAAGAGAGGAGGTAGCATTAACTCCTGCAGTAACCGTCAGCTAACTGATGTTGCTCTCGTCAGTTCCATTTCCATCTGTGCTGGACGCCCCGGATTTGCCTTCCAGGCGTCTACGCTTTCCCATCTGTGCACACGAAACGAAATATCCTTCACTTTCTATGAACAAGATTAGCGACAAGATTGAGCCCTGAATGACTGAATCCCATCGCCAAAGGGACGGGCACCAAGAAATTGAACTCACTGACTGACGCCACTATAAGAGCGGAGAGAAATGGGCAGAAACAAAAAGAAAGCAGCCAAGCAGGTGGAGTGGCGCTGTAACAATTCGCCACAGCTAGCCTCCTCCCTCTGACCCTCAGCTCAGGCTAGCTCTCATTCTTCCCTCCCTCCCCCTTCTTGCATGCCAATCGCCTCCAAGCTCGTCTACTTCCAGCGCCGCCCCTCGCCGGCGCCGCCGGACGACCCGGGCCCCGAGCCGCCGGACCCCCGACGCCGACCCTGCCGCGACCACCGCCGCCGCCGGAGCTCCCTCTCCTCCCACCACAAGCCGGTGCGTACCCAAGAACACGCTTGCCGTTTCGTTTCCTCTGACTTCCTGCCGTTTGTTTGCTAATATAAAGCCGCGACCTTTTGCGGTTTTCCGAGTGAATAAACCGGGGGCTCTTCTAGTTTTCTTCATAGATTCGAACTTCGGGCTTCCAGCATAGCTAGAACTTGGAGCATGGTGTGGAACTGTGGATTACTGTTCCCCGTGTCTAGGTGAGCCCGAAAGTTTTGATTTTTGACACCGAGAAATGGTGAGTTATCGAGTTAGCAGGGTGCAGAGTGCATGCGTAACGGAGAAAAAAAAGTTGATGTTTTCTTGGAGGGTAACCTCTGGTGGAGATTTGGTCTTCTGAGCTCTTGATGGATGTAGATGTCTACTGTACACTCTGTGATTAAATAGGACTGCTATGAAATCCCAGGTTGAAATCACGCTGTCGGTTTGGTTAGAATTAGTCGACAGAGATGGACGATGGTGTGTAGATGATATGTGCTTTGCAGTATGATCTTCGTTTTCCTTTGCTTAAATGTTTGGGTCACGCAAATTTGAGAAATTGTTTCGCAGTAGTAATTCGGTTTCCATGAAGGCCTAGTCTCCTTGTTCTTCAGGAACATTGAGGAGCCCATCAGCGTCCTGGAATATTCGGCAGTGCTTGCTTGAAAGTTACTAGCTCATAGTCTTTCTCGAACTAGGCAGAGTATTTTAGTAAATCTAGCAGGCAGAGAATACCAGAATAGTTTTATTAAAAGAGGATATTACACCGATCTAAGATAGTAATCTGAATGAATAACGTCGATAGTTGTCCCCAACAGATAATCTCTGACATGGATGATTTGTAGGCTCAAAATATTAGGCCAAAAAAAAAAATTTATGTGGGCATGTACTATTGGTAACTTCAATGGGCAAATTTCCTTATATGTTCCCTTCATCTACATTTGTGAAGAAAGCTACCATTTATTTAGTTAGTGTCATGATGACAGGCATTTGTTTGCTCCATCCTTTTCCTTTGAAAACGATACTTAGAGCTTTAGTGACTTAGAAATAATTGTATTGAATCTAGCCACAGGCATTAGCAAATTAATTGCTGGTCCCCATATCAGCCTATGGCAAACAGGTTATCTTCTCTTTATTGTCGTCAGGTGGCTACTATTTCTCCATTCGTAAAAAACAGGTGGCTACTATTTCTTATGCATCAATTCATGTTTTCTTTGCAATGAGCTAGTTTCTTGGTGACACTAATAAGTCACCAAACAATCACACATGAACACTCTGCCCGCAGGAGATTAAGTACCATGTGTTGGCTACAATCTTGCAAATATGCTACATGACCAATTAAGGCACAAATTAGAGCATTTCGTATTTTTCCATGTCCTTTAAAGGCAGTATAAAATCATATTCAGTGATTACACATATTTTCTTCTAACAACCACTATGTAAAACCAGGGTCAGGAACATATTCCAGGACACCAAAGGGATGCCGCTACGAAGCCTCTGGGATCAGTTGGAAACATAGCAGAGCATGCAGCCGGCATGTCCTCCAGCACAAGACTTCACCGCAGCATATCAGACCATGGTCGGCTTCCTGACGCCGTTCAGCAGGCCAGGGAAAGGCTCTTTCAGAGGCTCAACAGTGTGGACCTGTCAGGAAGAAGGTCCGCGTAATCGACTCTTAGCATGTCGTCCTTCCTGCACATAATCTGACAATATACTGAATGTACATTTTCACTGCAGGCAAAAGACATGGCCCTCGGAATCATTCTGGGCTGGACTAACTCGCCCCGCTGACGCCAGTGTGTCCACCTCTTCAGACAACATACTGGGCAGTCTAACCAATTGCTTCCAGTCTGGTGAACCTGTCGCAGCCAGCAAGGCTGAAGAAAGCACCGTCATCACTAACACAGATGAGTGTATGCCCATCACAGTGTTCCCCAAACCCGTCTCCAAGCTGCAGGAAGCAGAAGACGGTGAAGCCGTGGGAGCTTCTTCTCCAGCTGAGTGCTCCATATGCCTGGAGAGGTGCGGTGACTCAGGCGACGGGCTCATCCAGCTGCGCTGCAGGCATATCTTCCACTCGGCCTGCCTGGAGCGGTGGCTGCGGTCCCGCGCCGACTGCCCCTACTGCCGTGCCACCGTGCGAGTTTGCTCCTAACAGCAGGAGGATGAAACTGAATGACAAAGTGAGAATGACAACGTGTCCAAGGCTGCAGACTACGGTTTAGTGAACCCTCCTGTCTGAGGCTTAACCATGTCGCTGCTCACCCCTTGTTGTAACTACTAGTGTATGGTTTTCCCTTACCCGTTGAGGTAGTACTGAACTTTGCGGCTTCAGCAAGTCAGTGTGGTATATGTATATGTGTATCTATGCTGACTGGCTGCTGTGTATATTGCATCTGTGGATACCATCAGAGAAGCAATAAGCTGGCTAATGTTACGCTGCATAATTGCGTTCCATGGAAGGTCACTTCTGTTGCAGTGCAGTTGTTGACTTGTGCTCTACTACGTTGTTGTCATGCACGCCTACAGTTCTGTGGTGATGCAGGATCTGGTCTGGAGAAGATGCCTGCATGCAGTTTGGTCCGGAAAAGGCAGAAACGGTTTCAGGAACAGAATCGATGCCCGAGGAGTATCGGTGAGCGAAGCACGGCCGTGGTGGTTCACCTGTGCTTGTCTTCTCTTGTAGTCTTGTTGCGCTGTTACCAGTCACGTGATACGCGATGACCTCACCCACCAGGCCGCCACGGTTGGAGCTGCCGTTCTGGGTAGAAGCATGGGAGGCATGGAGCCATGGACGGAGAGCTCCCCTTTGGACTGGAGTTGCCGGCCGGAATAGGAGGCCGCCCGGCAAGGCGAGCGGGAGAGTCATATGGGCCAAGCCCTAGAATCGGGCCTAATTGAATGTGGGCCATTTGTTGCCGGAGTCCGAGAGACGAAGGACCCCGTTAGACACGGAAGGCCCAAGCCCACAGACTAAAGCTCGGCACCACATTGCAGCTGGGCCTCTCCTTCCATTCGCGTTGCGGTTTCCATCCACATTTCCGCCGTCATGGACGAAGATGCGACGACGGGCAACTCGGCCGCCGCCGAGACATTCGATCCGGTGAGTTCATCGCCCGAACCACGACCGACCCCCTCCGATTTTTCCCTCGGCTAAAACTCTTGTTATCTGACAATTTGTGGTCATTTATCTGAATCTGATGATGACGCGCTGCTGGGATTTGAGCAGGAACTGATTCACGCCATCTTCAAGCTGGTGTGGCGGCGGCGAGCGGAGAAGGGTGGCGGCAACGAGGTCATCGACGTGGAGGTGATTCATTTTCAGACTTTTTTTTTGACCGCTCCTTTCCCCTTCTACTGACCAGTGTGCTTTATTTTCTAATAATAATCGTCAGCCTGCTCCAGAGACCTCGAGGAGAAATCGGAGTACAACTGGTAAGCGAGTCTGTTTCTTCTTTACTGGAGCTAGCGGCATGAAATGGCTTCTAGGAAGTGCATGTGTTGGTGCAGTTAAATGACATCAGTTTGCAAAGAACCTGTTAGCCAATGTTTCCCCGATCTCTCATGTGTAAGGTGTTTGGTTTGAGTAAGGACTCCGTGCTAAATGAGCTGATGCATCGTAAGTCAATCCCTCGAATTTAGTAGAATGACTTCATTCCTCGTACTAGTACTAATCATTAGCTTGTGAGAAACGATATGATGATGGATCAACTCATTCCATTCTAGAAACCAAACAAGAAAGTGAGAAGTGAAAAGATGATGGACCGACCCATTCCTTAAACCAATCACCCTATTAGTGTCAATGCTGATAAAGCAAAATTGGTGCTTAAACTCTTATGTCCTATGTGCATAGCTATTTTAGTGTTGGCAGCCAGTAAGGCTAAGGCAGTAACATATGCCCATCAGACAAATTTTGTGGTTAAAAGTTCTTTTCAAAATTACCAAGGGGTCTGCATAAATCCAATTCGTAGCAGGTTTATGTATGGCAAGCCACACACTTAACTGGTTTGATCACATATTGATCAACCAGTCTTCCATTTGTTTTGATTAGTAGTTGTAACAGTAAGCACTTATCTTCTTCACCTAGCACACACAAATAATTTCAGCTTAGCACCTGTTTTCTGTCCAAGTAGATGGCTTCTAGCCTTCTACACCTTTAGTGTTAACTATATTGCTACATTACATGTAATGCCATCTTATTTGACAATAGCTGGATGAAATGGGTAAGACAATTTGACATTGTTTGTCACGAGTTGACTTGTGTAACTGCACTTACATGCCTCAAGTGCAGAGCACTGTTAGGTAATGTAGGATGTCTCATGTGTTACTTGGGGGCACATAGTTGAACAACGGTTGCAAGAAGGCCGTGCCAGACACCATAGTCGATCAGAGAAGATTTTATTTGCTTTGTTATCAAGTTTTAGCTAGGTTTGTTTGTTAGGTTTGGAACTTGGTTTATCAAACAAGCTCACAAGCACATCGTTTGTTGGCTTGGATGGATTGTAATAATCAGCGCTATATATGAGGAATGACTGAACTGGGAAATCAAGCTTGAAAAGAGCTACCTCATTTCCCTGTCTCTTTCACCCTGTGTTCCATCTAACGCAGCTCAGGGGTTCGAGCTGTTTCTCCACCCCATCCCAGAACTTTTTGACTAGTTTTTTTTTTTTTGAAATAATCTTGTCCTTCTATTCTTTTGTCTAGATTGGAACTAGATGGTGTAAGGGTCCCAGATAGTATGTTAAAACCTGCTTTTAACTTTGGTATTTCTTTGATTTTTTATGTTTAAGTGGCTTAATTCTGCTGGTGACTGGGGTAAGAGTATCAGTATGATGAAACTTGGTGAACAAATGGTTTACTTTAATGAAAAATGCTGACTGGTTTTCTGTTTCTATAAGAGATGAAGAATTGGCACTAGAAAGAGTTCGAAAGATGTATTTGACTCGATTGTTGTCACCCTTTGATTTATAGTGGACAATATAGGGTTCAAAGTAACTTCTTTGAGTGTGTTATTCATTATATGCTGACATGTTATGTTCACCTGGCAGCCAATGCAAGTGCTCTTAAAGTCAGCTGCGAGCTTCTTCGCATATTTGTTACAGGTTTGCACCTCTGAAAAACGCTGCATCACTGCAAGCTATTTATGCTGTGGAAGCAATTCCATTTCTGGATTTTAACTGATTTCTCTTATAGAGGCTATTCAGCGCTCTGCTTTTATTGCTGAAGCGGAGGATGGTACTGTCATCGAGCCCACCCACCTAGAGCGTGTGTTGCCACAGCTGCTATTGGACTTTTGAGGTACCCCTTAGAGCTTCCAAATCCATTTACCTGGTTGAATGCATTTGTCTAAGCCTATGAACACACGCAGCTTCTACATCAGCTAAACTTGGAAAGCAAAAGGCTAGATTTCATCATACACATGATATTTTTCTTGTTTGCTGTAACACGGACTCTGAACTGATAACTGTTTATACTGGCATGTAGCCCTGTTCATGGTTCGCCAAAATCGGCTACCTGCCCGCACCTAAACCTCGATGGAACCATAACACGGATTGAATTGGTTCGCGTGTCCAAACCGAGTAAGCATGGGTCGATCCGTCGGTTTGCCGTTTCAACTTGATAAACCCAGAATCAGATGCAAGGAATGATGAAAAGGAAAAGAAGAAGAGGCAATGGCGGCAAAGATGTCGCGAGGCCATGGTCGCTGCAGCTAAAAGGCAGCTGCTACTGCCATCTGCCGCTGCTAATACAGTGTTTCACTGAGACAATAACAGCAGCAGCTGCAGCAGCTAGTAAAACAGCTGTGCCAAACACCCTAGAAGCTGAACCTGATACCATTGTTACTTATGAATATATCCATTGTTGTTGTAATTCTATAAACTTGTTGGAACTACGAAGCACATACGGTCACTTGTAGTTATCGTGTTCCTACGGTGTTTGACACAACCTAAAACACAGCAGAGTCGTCATAAAAATATTGATATATTAAAATCTAATTAAACTAAATATAATAGTAGTACTAGTAATAATAATAAACAATATATATTCTATATCTACATATCTATAATATTAAAGTGTAAAAAAAGTTTGGATCATCATGTCTAACTTTCTCACTAGTCTGTCCTTTGCACTCTTCTTTTGTCCTTTGGATTCTTGTTCCCGCGCTCTCACCCTTTGAATCATGTGTCCTTTGCGCTCCTCTTTTGTCCATTGGGTTCGTCTTCCTGCGCTCTCACCCTTTGGATCATCATCTCGCTCTCACTCTTATTGTTTTAAAGTTTGGAGCTGCAAAATCTTTATTGGCGTCACACCACTAGTGTCATGGTACGTGAGCCCTTGTGCTCACATGCTTTAAGCTTGGTGTCACATCGCTTGTGTCATGGCTTGGTCATCTAAGCCGTAGCTCTTACTCTAAGTTTAGAGCTGCAAAGCCTTCATTGTTTTCACCCCACTCGTGTCATGGCTTGGCTACCTGAGCATGTACATTTTGTGGTGCGTGTACAAACTTGTGGCTCGCCATCCAATTATAGGTACAAACACCACACAACAAATTATATGCCCCATTATAACGTATGGGTATATTTGGTTCGTAATAGTAATGGTTATTGTCGTTGCTATTCTAAACTTGTCCGAACCACGAAGCGCCAACAGTCACTTGTAGTTTTCTTCTTATATAAAAAAAATTAAAGACGCTGTTTTTTGTCGACAGCGCAGCACTGATCCACCAAGCATGAATGAACAGATATATCCATTTTTTTTTGGAAGAGACAGGAGGGGTTTTTAGGCCCCTACTGAGAATATATCAAAAAGGATTTGAAAGTACAAAAACAAATACAAAGGGGACAGCTTAGGCTGTGGAAAAAGCTAAAGGTAGGGCTAAAGAAGCAACCTAGGGGACTAGAAAGGACATCCCATATTTATTTATATCATATATCAAGAAACGCCACCTCTTCTTTTTATTTCCTTATGATAAATGACAGGATTTTCACGGTCTCTTAGATTTAGGGCGCATGCAAAGTTTTGCTGCAGCGGCAAGTTGGCCAAGCTCTCTCGCAATCCTCGCTCGTCGCATAACAATTGTCTTGTGAACAGCAGTAGCAAACAGCTTCAGATATTGCACCCTTTTCGCAGGTCTGTTTCTGGCATGGGCACAAATCAACAACATTCCGAGCTGCATGCACATAAGGGCATTCACTTAAACAATTAGGTAAAGTAAACCTAACTTTACAGTACTTTAAGGTTGTTTCTCTATTTCTCGAACTGGACACTTGGGAACCATTTATATTTACTGAAAACTACTTCCTTCAGGCAATATATTTAGAAAAGCTAAAACATCATATAATTTAGAATAGAGGGAGTAATAAGTAATTTTATCTGAATGCGTCTGGTTGTATGATGTGTACTTACAGTGTGTAGGAATCATGAAACATCCTAGGATCAGCATCAAGAACAGGACCACCTTGCTTCCTTCCATTGTAATTTTCACCATATAAGGAGTTTCTCCAGATCAGAGATTAATGTATGTATATGTGTTTGACTACCGAATGCTTGCAGCAAGGTTCATATATATATATATATATATATATATATATATATATATATATATATATATATATATATATATATATATATATATATATATGTGTGTGTGTGTGTGTGTGTGTGTGTGTGTGTGTGTGTGTGTGTGTGAAAGATAACTATCTATATCTAGCAAGAAGTGATAATAGTTAGCTGCTAATTGCTAATAGGTCATAACTAATAACTAGCTGGTTTGGTCCAACTAGTAAGATAGTTATTAGTTAGGTATTAGCTAACAATTAGCTAAAAACTATTAGCTAGACCCATTTTGATCTAGATGAGCTAATTATTACAAAGCTAACTAGCTATTAGTTGCTTGGATCCAAATATGACCTATATTGGGTCAAATTAAGGTTCCATTTGGATCTATTAGCTACTAATAGTTAGCTAGCTAATAATTCACAGCTAATACTTCCTCTGTCCTAATATATAAGGCATAATCATTTTTTTATTGGTGACCCATAGTATAAGACGTGCTCTGTGTAGATGCACATACATCGATGCAGTAGTACTAGTGTTGATAGAGATAATTAAATACGTTCCTTAGTCTTTAAACCAGAGGTGGTTGTTACGCCTTATATACTGGGATGGAGGGAGTATTAGCTGCCATTAGTTAGTTGGGTATACAACAAACAATTAGCTAAATACTTGGATCTAAGCAACTAATTAATAGCAGCTAACTATTAGCTCCTTGGATCCAAATAGTTAGCTGAAATTAGCTCTATTCAATCAAACACCTTAGCTAATAGTTCAACTAGTAGCTCAAGATGAACTATTTAGCTAATAAGAAATTATTAGCCACCATTATTTAATTAAATACTACTCGATCCATTCCAAATTAGCTGGTTTTCTCCCAACTAGCAGCTAATATTTAGCTTTTTGAGTCCAAATAGAGCCTAAATCAAGATGGATATAAGTGCAGGATCGCCATCTGGATTCAGGAGGCAAGCATGATTTGTTTTTGGACAAGAAGACTAGACGAGCCATTTTTTGATTCCATAAGTGGCACTGTGGCAGCATTCGAGTAATAGCTTAGATACATAATTCAGATGAAATGCCTCGAAACATTCTTTGCCGGGGCCCGTCGATCCAAATACCTCGGCTAATGGGTTAACTAATATCTCAAGAAGAACTATTTAGCTAATAAAAAATTATTAGCTGCTGCTATTTAATTTAATACTACTCCCTCATTCTAACTTAGTTTCTGTTTGGATCCATTAGCTGTTAATAGTTAGCTAGCTAATAGTTCATAGCTAATGTTAACTACTATTAGCTAATTTAGTCCAACTAGCAGTGAAATAGTTGTTAGTTAGGTGTTCAACTAACAATTAGCTAAATTGTTAGCTAGATCTGTTTAGATCCAAATAAGCTAATTATTATCAGCTAACGACTATCTTTAGGATCTAAACAGGACCTGGTTTTCTCCCAACTAGCAGCTAACATTTAGCTTTCTCAATCAACAGAGCCTAAATCTAGATGGATATAAGTACAGGGCCGCCATCCATCTGGATTTAGGAGACAAGCATGATTTATTTGGTTTGTCAGACAAGCTCACAAGCACATCGTTTGTTGGCTTGGATAGATTGAGCTATCTTGTTTCTATCTCACCCTTGTGTTCCATCTAATGCAGCTCAGGCGCTCGAGCTGCTTCTCCACCCCATCCCAGAACATCATGAGTAGTGTTTTTTTTTTTTTAAAAGGATTCCGTTTTTTTGTCAAATTGGAACTAGATGGTGTAAGATTCCCAGATAGTATGTTAAAACCTGCTTTTAACTTTGGTATTTCTGTGTTTTTTATGTCTAAGTGGCTTAATTCTGCTGGTGACTCGGGTAAGAATATCAGTAAGATGAAACTTGGGAAACAAATGGTTCTTTAACAAAAAATGCGGACTGGTTTTCTGTTTCTGTAACTATAAGAGATGAAGAATTGGTGATAGAAGAGTTCGAAAGATGTATGTGACTCAGTTGTTATCACCCTTTGGTTTATAGTGGACAATATAGGGTTCAAAGTACCTTCTCTTGAATGCATTGTTCATGATATGCTGACATGTTATGTTCACCTGACAGCTAATGCAAGTGCTCTTAAGGTCAGCTGCGAACTTCTTCGCATATTTGTTACAGGTTTGCACCTCTGAAAATTGATGCATCACTGCAGGCTCTAATTATGCTGGGGAATCATATGCATTTTTGTACTTTAACTGAAATTTCTCTTTCAGAGGCTATTGAACGCTCTGGTTTTATTGCTGAAGCGGAGGATGGTACTGTCATCGAGCCCACCCACCTAGAGCGCGTGTTGCCGCAACTGCTCTTGGATTTTTCAGTACCCCGTAGATGTCCAGATGCATCAGCAGAATCGTATAGCTACCCAATGTCTTGTAAACACACGCAGCTTCTAGTTCTACATCAGCTAAACTTGCAAAGGAAAAGGCTAGATATCATCATACACATGATATTATTTTCTTGTTTGCTGTAACATGGACTCTGAAATGGTGACTGTTTATACTGGCATGTATCGCTGTTCATCGGTTCGCCAAAATCGCGTGTCCAAACCGAGTCAACATGGGTGGATCCGTCGGTTTGCGGTTTCAACTTGAGCAACCAAGAATCTGATGCAAGGAATGATGAAAAGGAAAAGAAGAAGAGGCAATGGCGGCAAAGATGTCGTGTGAGGCCACGGTCGCTGCAGCTAAAAAGCAGCTGCTACTGCCATCTGCCGCTGCTAGTACAGTGTTTCACTGAGACAATAACAGCAGCAGCTGCAGCAGCTAGTAAAACAGCTGTGCCAAACACCAAGCTGAATATCCATTGTTGTTGTATAAGGCCCCGTTTAGATGCAACTCAAAACCTAAAATTTTTCAAGATTTCTCGTCACATCGAATCTTGCGGCACATGCATGGAGTACTAAATGTAGACGAAAAAAAACTAATTACACAGTTAGCCGAGAAATCGTGAGACGAATCTTTTAAGCCTAAATAGTCCATAATTGGACAATTTTTGTCAAATACAAACGAAAGTGCTACAGTAGCCAAAAGCCAAAAATTTTTGGAACTAAACAGGGCCTAACTCTATAAACTTGGGCCTTGTTTAGATCCCATCAAAATTCTAAGTTTTTTCACTCTCTCTCCATCACATCAATTTTTGGACACATGCATGGAGCATTAAATATAGGTAAAAATAATGATTAATTGCACAGTTTGGTTGTAAATCACGAGACGAATCTTTTAAGCCTAATTAGTCTATGATCGGACAAAGTTTGTCAAATACAAACGAAATATACTACAGTGTGCAAATTGAAAAAATTTGCAATGTAAACAAGTCTTGTTCGAACTAGGAAGCACATACGGTTAATCGTAGCTTTCGTGTCCCTACGGTGTTTGACACAACAAAACACAGCCCGGTCGTCATAAAAATATTGATATATTTAAATCTAATTAAATTAAATATAATAATAATAGTAATAATAAACAATACATATTGTAATATTAAAATGAAAAAAGTCATATCCACTCCGTTCGCTTGTCTTAAAAATGGCTTGTTCGGCTTCTTTTTTCAGCCTGAACATTGTTTTTCTCTCACAACAATTCAGCCGGAACAGTATTTTTCAGCCAGTTTCAGCCAAGTTTCAGACCAACGAACGGGGCCATCATCGTCTCAAACTCTCTGCCTAGTCTGTCCTCTGCGCTCCTCTTTTGTCCTTCGGATTCGTGTCCCCACGCTCTCACCCTTTGGATCATCCGTCCTTTGTACTCTTCTTCTGTCCTTTGGGTTTGTCTTCCCGCGCTCTCACCCTTTGGATCATCATCTCGCTCTCAAACCTTCATCCGCGTCACACCACTAATGTCATGGCACGTGAGCCCTTGCGCTCACCTTTATTGCTTTAAGCTTGGCATCACATCGCTTGTGTCATGGCTTGGTCACCTGAGCCCTGGCTCTCAACCAGTGGCGGAGGCACAGGGTATGCCGGGTATGCACCGGCATACCCTGTCTGACCGGCATGTACTAATAACCTATATTTATTATATATCTGTATTTGTATTAAAAAAAGGAAAGAAATCACTTGGATCACAGATGATGCTATATCCATCACAGAAGCAGGAAGTTAGAAGGCCCAGGAGGCCAGTTCGCGGCAAGGTTATCCTCGGACCTTCCACTTTTTGGTTGTTATCTCGATCCATCGATTTGTTAAAAAAAATCTCAATCCGTTGATCGGAGCTGAGGAGTCACGGTTCACGGAACATGCCGCCCCCTGCCGCCCCCTGACTGACTATTGACGCCGGCGTGATGGTGACACCCTGGTTTTGGTGGCTGGTGCCCTGCTGCCTCTAGTCACTCGTGTGTAGTTTGCAGTTTGCACGACCACGCAATCACAGAGGCTCGCTGATTCACTATTTCTTCCTGGTAAAATTTAATCTTCTACTCTGTCTTATTATAGAAAATTATTATCTACTTTCATAGGTACCCCCTCCATTCCAATTTATAAGATATTTTGATTTTTTTAGATACATTACTTTTATTATGCATAATCTAGACGTAGTGTATATATAAGTGCATAGCAAAACTTATGTATCTCGAAATAAAGAGGCACAAAGTGTATCAATGGTTTATGAGCATCTCAAATTGGTGTTGCTTCTACCCGTGGCAACGGCAAGTGTTGAAAGTATTTTCTGCAATGGTTTTAGTGACAACAAAGTTACAAAATATGGTGGAGATAGTCTTTTAGATGATTGTCTAGTCACTTTCACTGAGCGGAATATTTTCTTTGAACTTGATGAAGATGATATAACCAAGATATTTATGTCCCTTCGAAAGCGTCAAATAAAATAGTCAGAAATAGAGTTGTAAGTCTCTTGTACTCTTTTACTCCTATATTTCAATTATCGGTATGACTTTTGAACTATTTATATTGTATTTAGTGGATGGTTTTAACTTAACTAATCTATAAATTTAAGCCTTATTGTGTTATTTAGTGCACTTATACCAAATCATGTAGTCATGTTTACAATTATTACTAAATTACTAATATGAATTTACCGAATTATATATGAAAATTTTTAGGTGGCATACCCTGATCTAAAATCCTAGATTCGCCACTGCTCTCAACCTTAGTACTCTAAGTTTAGAGCTGTAAAACCTTCGTTGATGTCACCCCACTAGTGTTGTGGCTTGGTTACCTGAGCATGTACATTTTGTGGAGCACGGACGAACATGTGGCTCGCCATCCATCTTTCTTAAATTTACAAAAGATGTACACAATAGCTACCTATTTAATGGTCAATTTTCCGTATGAGATTAATCATTAAATATATTTGATTTGAAGTTGGGCCAAACCTAATTAAATTTAACAAAAAAATAGCTAGCAATTTATTATCGGTACACACACCGCACAACAAATTATACGTCATGTTGCAACATATGGGTATATTTGGTGAATATACCCATTTGGCAAAGTATCCATTTGGCGCCAGCGCCGCCAACCCTGCACAACGGGCGGGCTTGGTCGGCGGGGGGATCTGTGTGGCATCATGGCTGGAGTGGGTGCCCTGCGCGGTGTCGTGGCTGGTGTGGGTACCCTACGCGGCTTCATGGCTGGTATGGGTGCGGTGGCCCACCTCGGGGGTGATATTCGATGCACGTGGTTCTAGGCGAAAGCTTAGGCTCTGTTCGGCTGGTCTATAAGCCGCTTGTGCTGATTTGTACGGCTGATTTGTTGAGAGAGGAAAATACTGTACCATAGCTGATTAGCCGGCTTATAATGGCAGCCGAATAGAGCCTCAGCCTGGCTTTGGCCGGGCGGACGACGGTGACGCCTCGGGCGCCACATACCTCCTTGGAGCCGTCGTTGATGAACCGCATGCTTTGCCGCCAACAACACCGGATTCTGGGCGTAAGCCCTTCCTTACAAGCCTCTAAGGCCAACGGCAATGGCGTCCATGGGGATACCATTGGGCGTCATTCCCTTCCTGAAGGCGTCGTTGAAGAATCACTCAGGGCTCCTCGCAAATGCACCCATCATCCATGGTTCCTGTTGTGTCGTCGCCCCCTGGTGGAGTCCCTTGATGTGCCTATGTGTGCCTTTGTTCTACTTGCATCAGTCTGTTCTGCGGCGCTTGACCTCGCCGTCGTCATCTGGCTTTTGTAGCAGATGCTTTGCCGCTACCGTTCTTTGGCGGATACTTTGCCACCGTTGTCGTTGGTCTCGTCTTTAGCAGATGCTTTGTTGTCAGGAGTGTCAAGGCCACTCCCCTCTACGGATACTTTGCCGCAGGAGGCATCTTCGTTTCTTCCCCGATGGATGCTTGGCCATTGGTGGAATCTATGACGGATACTTTGCCGTCGTTGGCTCGTTGGTCCCCTCTCTAGCAGATCTTTGCTGTCGAGAGCGTGTGGGCCCATTTCTTGGTGGATACTTGGTCGCCGTGGTCGCTTGGTCTTCGCTGGTGGATGCTCTGCCGCCATTGTTGCCGGATGCTCCTTTGTCTTCTCTGGGTGGATACTTTGCCACCATGGTTTTGTCTTGTAGGCAACCTTTGCGTTGATTTCTTTTATTGCAGACACAGTTATATGTCTTGGGTGTTGAGGGCAGTCGTGCTCTTTCTTCTTCTTCTTCTTTTCTTTCTCTCTTTTTTTTTTCTGTTCGTATGTTTATTCCAGGTCACTCATCACTAACTCAGTGGTTTGTAATATGTGCTATGAGGGTTCTCTCATAGCTGTGTCGTGTAATTCACTTCTCTTAATGAAAAACGGGCTATATTCCCCCATCGCTAAAAAAACATATGGGTATATTTGTTAGTAATAGTAATGGCTATAGTCGTTGTTATTTTAAACTTGTCCGAACCACGAAGCGCCAACAGTCACTTGTGACTTGTAGTTTTCTTCCTATATAAAAAAAATAAAGTCACGCTGGTTTTTGTGGACAGCGCAGCACTGATCCAAGCATGAATGAACAGGTATATCTCATATTTATTTATATCATATATCAAGAAACGCCACCTCTTCTTTTTATTTCCTTAAGATAAATGACAGGATTTTCACGGGCTCTTAGATTTAGGCGGGCAGCGGCAATATCTGTAGCAATCCTCGCTCGTCGCATAACAATTGTCCTGTGAACAGCAGTAGCAGACAGCTTCATTTGAACCCTTTTGGCAGGTCGCGATCTGGCATGGGCACACATGAACAACATTCCGAGCTGCATGCACATAAGGGCATTCACTTAAACAATTAGTTAAAGTAATAAACCTAATTTTTACAGTTCTTTAAGGTCGTTTCTCTGTTTCTCAAATTGGACATTATGGAAACAATTTATATTTATCGAAAACTACTCCCTTCATGTCTAGATGTACAGTAAAAGTAATATATTTAGAAAAAACTAAAATATCTTATAATTTAAAATAGAGAGAGTAATAAGTAATTTTATCTGAATGCACCTGATCGTATGATGTGTACTTACAGTGTGTAGGAATCATGAAACATCCCAGGATCAATATCAAGAACAGGACCGCCTTGCTTCCTTCCATCGTAATTTTCACCATATAAGGAGTTTCTCCAGATCAGAGATTAATGTATGTATATATGTTTGACTACCGAATGGTTGCAGCGAGGTTCATATATACCCCTATGTATATGTGAAAGATAACTATCTATATCTAGCAAGAAGTGGTGAACCGGTACAGTACAACAATTACCTACTTGATCCATTAGCTGTTAATATGTCATAGCTAATATTAGTTAGCTAGTTTGGCCCGACTAGTAAGATAGTTATTAGTAAGGTATTAGCTAACAATTAGCTAGATCCGTTTTGATCTAGAGGAGCTAATTATTACAACTAACTATTAGTTGCTTGGATCCAAATAGGACCTATATTGGGTCAAATTAATGTTCTATGTGGATCTATTAGCTACTAAAAGTTAGTTAGCTAATAATTCACAGCTAATATTAGCTACTATTAGTTAGTTGGCTATTTAGCTAACAATTAGCTAGACCTGTTTGATCCTAGCAGCTAACTATTAGCTGACATTAGCTCTGTTCAGTCCAAATACCATAGCTAATACCCCTCCGTCCTAAATTATAAGTCACTTTGATTTTTTTGGTACATCCATTTTGCTATGTATCTAGATATAATATATGTCTAAATACATAACAAATTCTATGTACCAAAAAGTCAAAGTGACTTATAATTTAAAACAGAGGGAGTAGTTCAACTAGTAGCTCAAGATGAACTATTTAGCTAATAAGAAATTATTAGCCGCCATTATTTAATTAAATACTACTCCCTCCATTTTAAATTAGCTGGTTTTCTCCTAATGAGCAGCTAACATTTAGCTTTCTCAATCAATAGAGCCTATATCTATCTAGATGGATATAAGTGCAGGACCGCCATCTAGATTCAGGAGGCAAGCATGATTTGTTTTTTGGACAAGAAGACTAGACGAACCATTTTTTTGATTCCATAAGTGGCAGGGTTCGAGTAATAGCTTAGATGCAGAATTCAGATGAAATGTCTCGAAACATTCTTTGCCGGGGCCTGTCGATCCAAATACCTTGGCTAATAGGTCAACTAATAGCTCAAGATGAACTATTTAGCTAATAAAAAATTATCAGCCGCCACCATTTAATTAAATGTTGTTCCCTTATTTCAACTTAGGTCATGATTTGGATTCATTAGCTGCTAATAGTTCATAGCTAATATTAACTACGATTACCTAATTTGGTCCAACTAGCAGTGAAGATAGTTGTTAGTTAGGTATTCAGCTAACAATTAGCTAAATTATTAGCTAGATCTGTTTAGATCCAAAGGAACTAATTATTATAAGCTAACTACTGTCTTTAGGATCAAACAGGACCTTAGCTGGTTTTCTCCCAACTAGTAGCTAACATTTAGCTTTCTCAATCAACAGAGCCTAAATCTACAGCTTGCTCTTCCCGTGGCCCATTCTAGAACCACACCAAACGGATTACTATTCTACTGTGAGTGGTAACTATTCAGAAATAAACAAAAAGAATATGTATCCTATTGGAAAGAGTCTCAAGCAAAAGAAAAAAAGGAACAATGACCATCATAGCATAATAATAGGCACAGTAGACGTAGTAAAAAAATCAAAATGTTCTGAGATAACACGAAATACAGTGGTGCTATATTCTGAGCCTCAATTCCATGCAGAGAATAACATACAGGGAGAATTATCTATTTGGCACTGAAACAAATCAGTGTTTTGTATTTGGCACTTGAAAATTTGAATTTTCCTATTTGGCATGAAGTTAAAATTTCCTTTCTTAAATGGCACTGCCGTCTATTTTCATTGGTCATTTGCTAGTTGACTGGTTTGACCGTGTCAGTTTTTTCTCCATATGTCCAATGTACCCATCCGTTAGATTCACTGCACAGAGTAAGGAGGGAGAGAGAGAAAGCGTTAGAGAGAGATAGAGAGAGCAAACCAACGGATCGAAGCGGAGCTGCACGGACAGCGTGCAAGAGGCCGCGCGGAGAGAGAGGGGGACGGCCGACGCCCACGGCCACCGGCATTGCTCGCCGGCGACACCGAGGCACGCTCGCGCGCGCCGCGCCGATGCACCGCACACCAGGGCCGGCAACGTGCATCCTGGGGCGGCGGCCACGGCCGGGGCCTGACCGCTCCAGTGAGCCGAGGAGGAGCCATGAGAGGGAGGAGGAGAAGAGGACGACGTATCGCCTCACTGCGCCGCCAAGCTGAGCCGCCGCTGTTGCCTCCGACGAGGAAGAGGCCATACACACGGGCACGGTCGTCGAGCATAGGCAGCTAGGGGTTCGTCGAGGACAGGAACACACGCGGAGCGGCAGGAAAAAGCCACGTCTAAGGGCACCCGCGTCGGCGGCCACCGGCGAGGCCTGCCGGCGATGCCGTGGGGGCTCGCGCCGCCAGTGCCATGCTGCCGCGCCGCCGTGAGTCCCCTTGGAACGGCTGCCGGAGGTCGCGCGGGGAGAGGGGGCGTGGGCCACGGCCACGGCACCGGCGGTGGCTGGCGCGCCGTGCCAGGGGGTGCCGCCGCGCCACGAGCACCGTGCGGGGAGCCGCTGCGGTTGGGACGAGGAGAGAGGGAGAGCGAGTGTGGAAGAGTCTAGAGACGGGGAGAGAGAAAGGTTGCACCAAGATATTTTCTGATGCGTGTACAGTAGGAGTTAGTGGGATGAACATGCACCGTCGGTATTCATGTCAAGGGTATTCATGTCATTTTGCCAGTCACTTGACACCGTTACTGTCCTAAATGGACGGTAGTGCTATTTATGAAAGCAAATTTCAACTAGGTGCCAAATAAGAAAGTTCAAATTTTTGAGTGCCAAATACGAAACACTGATTTGTTTCAGTGTCAAATAGATAATTCTCCCTAACATATAACGTGCTGCAATAGCACAAAATATAGTGGACAATGTACTTCATGCACACAGACACCAGACACATAAACCCTGCTGCTCCCAATCACATGAAACAACTCTCTCGACCCTGACAGGTGGCCCCACCACTCCTCAGGCCAATATCGGACCCAATGTCAGCGACGCCACCAGAACCAGCACCGTCGCTGCTCCCGCTTCCCCGCCCCCCTTAGCTAATCTCTTAGGGATTCCGGACTTTTCCCTAGATGGGTAATCCATGAGGATATCATTATAATTGTCATTCTAGTTTTTATCGGGAGTGTTTTCCAACCCTGGGTTTTGCTCCCCCTTACTCCCAAAAGAGCCCTAAAAGGGGCCCCCAAGCCAGTCAGCCAGAGAGGCGAGTCAAAAGAGCATTGACCACGCGACTTGTTAAGTTTTTTGAATATCCATTGTTGTAGTTTGTATTCTATAAACTTCTTCGAACTACTCGTACGAAGCACATACGGTTACTTGTAGTTTTCGTGTTCGTATGGTGTTTGGCACAACAAAATACAGCCCAACCTTCATAAAAATATTGATATTCTAATCAAATTAAACTTGATGATGATGATGATATTAAAATATAAAAAAGTTATTATTATTATTATTATTATTATTATTATTATTATTATTATTGTTACTCCATATCTATATATCTGTAAAAAAAGTTTTTCCCTATCTCTAGCTCTCTCCCCAGTCCGTCCTTTGTACTTTTTTTTCTCAAATACGCAAAAGGTTTGCGCATCATTGTATTAAGATCGAGAGATTTGAGTGTTGAGGCTTTTACCTGTGTGCCATTAAAAAAGTTTGAAATTACGCATAATCCATTAAAAAGTTGAGCTCCCACGAGTGTCATCGTTCTAAACTTCCTTGCTCTCCAAGCCATTCCATCCGCTTTTCTATTTAACGGTGTCAAACAGACAGGTGAAAAGACCATTTTACCCTACAGTGGGGTCCGTTTGTCAGCCAATCAAACTTTCACATTCTCTCTCTTTCTCTTGCGCCTCCATTTCATGCTCCCTGTGCTCCTGCTCGTCGTCGCGGCGCTGGCGGCGCGGGCAGGGGCTGTGGCAGAACCGTCCAAAATAGTACACCTTCGGAGGCGCTCATCTTTCACCAGGCACTAAGCACCATAAAAGCGAGATACTTCGAGCAGTTCCGTCGAGCACACCCCAAGGGAGAACTCGAATAATCCACGTTTTTTCCTCTAGGATCCAATAATGAGAACGAGTTTACAATACTTAGTCTATTTCATACAACTAGAGTTCTTAGAAATACATTATTATAGTACCAAGTTCAGAGTGCGGAATTTAAACAGCGGAATTAAAATGAACGTCTATCGATAATACACAAGGATCCGTCTGTGCCCACCAGAAGAATCCTTCACACAACAGCTACTCCTCAAGCTGCACCTGCAACAGGGGTAAATAAACCCTGAGTACATGATATACTCGTAAGACTTACTCGACTAATGGGAATAATTTTCCGACTCTAAAGGATATGATAAACTTTATGGTTTGCTGGGTTTTCTTTTTGCGAAAAACAATACTAGTAGTGAATTTTTATGTATATTTCTTATTAGCAGGCATGATTAGTTCATTGTCTAACCATTCTAGATAAGCACATATTCTACTTTCAAGCAAGAGTTGAGCAAACATATCTATTTCACCACCTTTTATTTTTCTAGTTCTTACTACGGTGCTAGATTGTATATAAGTCGTATCGGATTACCCAGCGATTCGCGAATCAATGTGCCCAGCTGGGTACCCCAAAACACATGCCCCACTTGTACCCCAAACACAAGCAGGACCAACCCATCACTCTCTTGTCAAGGGGTCTAGGTCCTCGTCCAAACTCGGACTCCAAGCCACCACACCTGAGTCCCGGACTCAGTGTGGTGCTTTGACCTCCACCATCCCCGCCTCCAATCAGTAGGTCCGGAAAGAGCCGAAACCCACGATAAGAGAGCAACGAGCCTTGCCTGCTCCCATAAACAAGTATGTGCTCAGTCTAATAAGTCTATGACCAGACTAAAATCCAATGCAACGACCGGTCCTTAATCGACACGGACAGGGAAAATAGTGTAACCAAGCTATGCCCCGTTGGCCGCAGAACACAACCCCTTAC